AAAAAAAAAAAAAAAAAAACCAAACCCAAAACAAAACCTAAAAAAATCAGTTTCCCCCGTTTCTGAAAGATGGGAATTCTCTCTGCAGAGCCGCGAGGTTCGTTACCGCAGCCCCTGCCTGGTTGTTTTCAAGGCGCGGGACCTGTGGGCTGCCGAAGCAGAACGCGGCGGGAGGGACGAGGGCTCCGTGCTGGTTCCCCCTTCACGGGGTGCTTTAAGCCCGCCGTCCGCCGTTTAAAAGCCAGCTTTATTTTCGCTGGTGGTTGCCGGCTTATATAAACTGTGAGTAAACAAAAGCAGAGCCCTCAAGCCGATAGGGTTTTAGATGGAGCTGCCGCTATGCAGCCGAACTGAGCGATTTATTTACTCACGTTTGGAAAAGTTTATTCTTTCCAGATCTTGTGTGACCTTCAGATCTGTTGTGGGCAGAGATCGGGCACTTCAGCAGATCTAAATTTAGGTCTTGAATTGGTCCCGAACGGTAACATCCTCACATCTGTAATTGCTCTTCTTGGGAATACAAATTCCCAATGGAAACAAAGAGGTTCTTGAATTTAGACCACTTCTTTACGTGAATCCCTGCATGTTTTCTTATCTGTCATTCTTCAGCTTTTGTGTGCTGCTTGGTGGTTTTGTTTTTTTTTTTTGAAGGTGCACTTGGAAGCTTAGAAATCCATTTTTAGTCTTGCCGTTGTTCCATTTAAATACAGAATTATTATATTTCATAGTTTTACTAGGAAACTTGGTGAAAGAAAATGTGTTTAAATAGCTGCTATTACGACCAGAAGAACTGTGAATTGTTTTGATCCATATACGGAGAGGATGGAAAAAGCTGTTCCCCTCTTTGTTACAAACTGAAAAGCAATGCACAGTATCACATTGAAATACTTTGTATGCCAGTGTAATCCACAGAATATCAATTTTGGCCTCAGTTGAGCTGAAGTTCTGAGAATAACGTGTTGGTGCCATAATATTTTAACCTTAAATAGGGATTTATTTAGTTTTTTGTCAATAGAGTGGAAGGTGAAGGGAGCAGGAGATTTTTTTTTTTTATTTTTTTTTTTTTTGTTATTCACACCATACTGAAGCCTTTTGGGAAGGAACCATTGTCTTGTTTTGTGTTTGTGTGGAGGTTTAATATATATTTTTAGAATATATTAAAGTACTAATAGGGAGTAGGCAGCGTTCTTCTGCGTGAACCTTTGCTCTAGAACAAAAAGCGTGTATCTGACCTGTGTATCTCTGAAAGCTTTGTATTTACTTAAATCTGAATCGTTACTATAACAGCTAACGACGATTAAAACCTGCTGTGTTCCACTGAACCCGTGGTTGTGCAGATACTTGCATCTGAAACAGTTTGCCACTAAAATAAACACAGGCAGAAGGGCTTTCAGGATCAGGGCCAAGCTCGAATGAAGGGGAAGGAGCGCTCGCAAATGCTGCTCTCCGTTGCAAAAACTGCAGCTGGAAGATTTACGTGTAAGCGTACTGTTTGGAGGAGAGTCAGTGAACATTTACAGTCGGTGACCTCCGGCAGCACGTTGGCTCACTCGGAGATGGGGAAGGGGTAGCTTTGGATCCGTGTGGTGGGCGATGTGCCTCCGCAAGCAGTAGGGTTTTTGGAGTACGCTGGAGGTACTGGATTATTAATGCTTCTGCAGTAAGCTTTTGCGGATGGGCTGCTATCAAGATACCCGGGTGGATGTTGCAAACAGAGTTGAGTTTGCTCTGTGCATTTGCGCCTGCTTGGGAGCGAAGGGCAGCCGGAGGCCGATGCCAGATGTGTCGCTGGGTGTATATTTAGGCACGCTACACTTCTCGGGAGCCCGCTGTTTTGGGAATTGTAGGCTGCCTTAACCAGTGCGGAAGGGACTGCATTCCTTCAGTGAAACAGGAGGTAGCGGATGTTTTTCGTTTGTGGAAATACAGCTCTCGGATGCTCCATCTATTTATATCTCTGGAGCAGGGACCGCTCCTTGGGCTTTGAGGTAGTTGTCTCCGGCAGGAGGATGCCCGCCCAAGAAGTCCCTGATGCAAAGTGACTTCTTGGAAACGTGGGCATAGCCCACGGCAGATTAGTTCCCCGTCCTTTTGCTTAGTTCTTGCTTGAAATAGTGGTGAAATTGTGCAAAGGGGAACCTTTACAATGGCGAGCTTACATTTCCAGGCTGGGGGTGGGGGAAGGCATAGGGCTGCTGCCAAATCACTCAAACTTTGCCAGAGGTCTGCGTCCTCAGCCCTGCTTTCACGTTTTCCTCAGATTCTGTTAATTGCCCGACGTGGGCCCCAGTGTAGCGAAGCATTTCAGCAGAGGACTGTGCACAGGCTTCAAAATGAGCATGGTTAATTTTGTTAATTCTCTGAATCAAGGTAGTTCTTCAAATCACAGTGTTGATATTGCAGTTTAGCTAAAGAAGTAAACCTCACTTTTTTTTTTTTTAATCACCAAATGATGAATCTTTCATGGCATGAAATGGTGGTGTTTCAGATCTTATCAAGGATCTCTTCTGTCATTAATGTGCAAACCTAAGAAGAGGCTCAAAGGGAAGGTGTTCAAGTGACGGTCTTTTTCCCGTCTCCCTGTCTACAGCAAACATAGCTGGATTTACAGAGCTGCTCCTTGAGTCCTCCAGAGAGGTGTCCGTGTTTTAACATCCGTTATTGGTGTGTAAATAATTTTTTGCTGAGAATAATGTTCAAGCAACATCAAATAGCTGCTCCCATCTGGAATTTCCAATTGCAGAGGGCTTCGCACAAAACCAGGTTGTCTGTTCTCTGAGAACCCCGTTATCCCCATTCAGGGTTGAGCAAACCCTCTCTGGGTTGTCCTCATCCATGGAGGAGCGTGAGGGTTACCTGACCTCCGTTCCTTGTTTTTAATTTAGATGGATTTGCAGCTTTCCTTCCAGTCCTAGCGAAGGGATGGGTGCTTGCTCGGGGGTGAGGCGCTCGCTCCTTTCGTGGTGCCCCCCCTCCGGGTGGGATGCGCGGTGCGGTGCCCTGCAGCCTGCCGGGGGGTATGGCACCGCTGCGGAGCGGGCGGCTTGGGCATGCTCTGACAAGGGGCTCAAGTGCCAGTGGCTTTTGTGATGCCTAATTAAATGTTTGGCCGTTGCTTTGAAGTAATTGTGTCAAGTTTTGGGAGCAGTCAGTGGAATTTGATTAGGTGTTACCTGGATTTTTTGTTGTGTAACGAGATGTTTAAAAACTCTTCTGCGTTTCTTCCTCCTTCCTTCCTTTTGTGGTGGTGTTTCATTTTATTCCCCACAAATCAGGGGATGCTTCTGTCTTAGTTATAGGATGAAGCGGGTAAGGACAGTCCGTCCTGGAGGTTTTTTTGTGCAAGACACATCCTGACCTTTATCTTCTATCCAAATCTGGAAGTGAGTCTACGTGGGGGTTTTTGTAGCCCTTTAAGCTATACATTATGGTAAAACCAGGGTCTGTTTCTTCATTGGCATAACTAAACTGTGAAAATACCTCATAGCAACTTCCCAAACTGATTGTACCTGAACAAAAAGCAGCCATTTCTGTCTAAGTATGCATGACCTTTCAGGAGGGCTATCTCACTGCCATTTATCTAAATTACATGGTGTTAAAAATACAGCCCAACAAGCCTGACTCTTTATTAATTATGTGCACATTCTGATTTGACAGGCTGAAATCTAATTTTATGGTCACATCAACTTATCTTTTGTCCTTTCGGGTGAGGTCTAATGCAAATGTCAAACAAGAGCATATGTGTTCATCTGTCAGAAGCAAACCAATATTCTAAATGTTTGTCTTTCCCTCTCTTTTTGCCTTTCTCTCTGGGAACAGATTTAATCGAAAATGTTTACATAGCTTCGAGGAGCAGGAAGGAGCCCAGGTTCCCCCAGGCCAGCGAGGTCCCCGAGCACAGGCCGCAGGTGAACAGCATTACTGTTTCTAAGAAACGCAGCTGGCTGCAGCAGAGCACGCACCGACCTCCTCCTCCTCCTCCTCCTCTGGAAGAAGAAAGCACCTGTAAAGAAACACATGGGCCTGTTATCCCAGTACCCAAATCTCCCATCCTGCTGCCTGAACCTGTGGTGCCGCGGGTTCTTTCCACGTCACCAGTGGGGCGGGAGCACCCCGCGCGAAGCTGCGCTCCTCTTGGTGCCCTGCCAAGCATCGCAAGCCCAAGGAGCGCTGCTTTGGACTTCGGTGAGGATAACGATGCAGATGATGAAGGAGAAATATGGTACAACCCAATCCCTGAAGACGATGAGCCCGACTTGCTGAGGGTCCGCCCTTCCACTGTGAATAGCCCTGTTGCTGTGGGCTCCCCGGTGTCTCGGTACAAATCCTCCCCTGGGTGTGACTTGGGGATGGCCACAGGTCCCTGCGAGGGTCCCCCACGCACCATGGAGAGCGTGGGGGACAGTCGGACAGCTCAGCCCAGAGAAATGAGTCAGGCCGATGCAGTGCATCCCGGGGAGCACGTGCAGCAGCACCGACAGAGGTTTGCCTGCAAGGCTCCTAGCGTGCCAGCAGTAGAGGACAATCCTGCCTTTAAGTGCCCTTCAACAGGTAAGAGGAATTGTTTAGGTTGGAAAAGACCTTTAAGATCATCAAGTCCAACCGTTAACCTAACCCTGCCATCCTACCACTAAACCCTGTCCCTAAGCACCACAGCTACATGGCTTTTAAATACCTCCAAGTATTTAAAAATAATAAAAAAACCCAGGTTGGGGACTCAACCGCTTCCCTGTTCCAGGCCTGATAACCCTTTTGGTGAAGAAATTTTTCCTAATGTCCAACCTAAACCTGTGCAACTTGAGGCCATTTCCTCTCGTCCCACTGCCCTTTACCTGGAAGCAGAGCCCAACCCACCCCAGCTCCCCCCTCCTCTCAGGCAGTTGTAGGGAGTGATGAGGGCTCCCCTCAGCCGCCTCTTCTCCAGGCTGAACACCCCCAGTGCCCTCAGCCACGCCTCATAAGGCATAACATGAAAGTGTTATGTCCTCTGTTTTCCTTTAGAGGAATAACAAACCCTTCTTACATCTCTCTTTTCCCTCCTTTTATCTTTATCAAGCAAATTTCCTGTGGAAATGCATGGCAGGTTCATAAAATATGACTCAAATTGTGAGACTGATACCTACTACATGTAGAGCTGCCCAGTGGTTTCTCCATCAGTTTGTTCGTGGTGTGTCCAGGTGTGGTTGTCCTCTCTGTTCTTTGGCCCCCACCTTGCTGAAGACGCAGGTTTTACAAAGCGAGCTTGCTAAAGCCTGGTAATGTGAGGACACCCTGGGTTTCCTTTGTTAGCTCGTGTCTAACCCTGGCGTTGGATTCCAGCCTTGAAGCTACTTAATGTCTGCAGAAGTTTCTTTAACTTGCTGTCTGGGACTTTTTAATAAAGACTTTTTGGAAGACCATATAAATGCTATTCATCACGTTGCTTTCTGTAATTGCTGTCTTGTTGACTGTCTCAGACTAATCTAATAGACTGGAGAGGAGTGGTTTTTGCTTTCAGAAGCCAGCCTCTTTGTTCCTTGTTATCTTTGGCTGAGTGTTTGATAGTCTCATTTCCATAATTCCATTAGTGGGTGAATTCAGCTTCTTAGTAAAGATTTTTCCCAGTCTATTAAAAAAGCCCAAACAGAAATAAAACCACACCAAATAAAAGTAAGTAGAAACTCCCCCAACCCTTTCCAAAAAGTATTATTTTTAATTAGTGATGTGTCTTACATTATCATGACCTTAATTCTGTTATCCTGTTGAGCGCTAGGAGCTTAGTGTAAAGTTCAGGAGATGGAATTCCAGGTTCCCCTATGGAGAAAGTTCACACTTTCTTTGCACTGACATTTAAGAGCCTGTATTTCTGCCCAGCTCAGCAGAGAGGACCTGGCACACCAGCATCGGAGCCCAAGTGTGCATTGCCCTCCAGAGGAGACCCCAATCTGGGTTGCCCTTGTCCAGCCTCGCTGTCCTGGAAGGCTTCTGGCCCCACGACACTGCGTGCCGGGAGCTGCTGTGCCTGGATTCCCAGTGCGGAGCTTGCTTCTGGGAACGGGGTTTGTTTGCAAAGGCACCAAAGCAACCGCTATAAACAGCGGAAGAAAAAACACTTGTGTCTTGTCTTCTGGGAGCTCACATTTTGTTCTTTTTTTGTGGAAATGCTGCAGATGCAAGCATATTTTTAGTTGCAAAGTGTGTTAAAGTTACTGGGCGTTTATTTAGAAATAGCTCACTTTATAGCTGCCTTAAATACTTAGCCCAGTTGTATTTGCTTGCAAGACAGATGAAATATCATGTTCTTAGGTAGATTTTTGCTGTTGTTGGAGCTCTAGGCGCCTGGAGAGGTCAGCAGGTGTGGTGATTTAGGAAAGCCATGTGTGTGTACTGCAAACTCTCTGACCCCCATTCAGGTAGTTAATCTCTCAATATATAGGTGACTACTTCTTTAAAAAAAACAACGTTTCTTTAAAAAAAATCCCTTTATGTAAGAAGAAAAAAGTCAAAATTGGTTTCATACTGAAAAACCATTTATTTCTGAAAGCAAAATTGCCCATTTAAAGTGTCTCGTGAAACCAGGGGAAAAGTGTTGTGAATTACCCCTGATTGGTTTGTTATGCATTGAGTTAATTAAGGTACTTTAAATGCAGCTCTCCTTTTGCATGTATTGAATAGTGATCACATTGAATAGATTAATTGATGATGAAGTGGATCCCTGCTGCTCAGTAATTGGCTTTATTATGGAGAAGTGGCTTAGTTCTTCTTTTTAATCCAGTTAAGGTGTCTACAGTTATTTTTCAGTCAAATTTAAAATGACAGCTCATCCATGCAAAATTACTGCATGAAGGGCAACGTGGCCAATTTAACTTTATTTGTGTTAGGACCTTGTTTGAATTATACAGCTGCTATGAAATAGACGTCTGTGTTCTTAGAGAGCTGGGTACGTGAAGCAGTAACTCCTGACAAATAAGCAATTACTGCTTTGTGGAAAAGTCTGCTTACCTTTCTTATTGATATGATTTTATGCATGTCAGTACTGGTTAGCATTAGAGTCTGAAGTATTAGATTTTGAGAAGCATAGACAGAAAAAAGTAGGGCGCTATAAAAGCTGACAAAATATATAGTTGTTCATTTTGTCATTTACTGTTTTCTTCTTTGGATGATGGAATCAACTTTACCTTTAGAACTGTCAATGTTGCTGCCTTATTTGGATTTCCAACTTTGTAGAGAGAAAATGGCTGTGGATTTTTTTCTATTTCTTTTTGGAGAGTCTTTATTAGAAGATTAAGAAGAAATAAATGATAGAATTCAGTTATTGGGAGTCTTTTCAAACACAGCAGCAAATAGATATTTTTTGTAAATGATATCAATAAAATAGATCGTAGCTGTAGAGGTGCTAATTTGCCCCATAGTCTTAATTTACACTGTTAGTTCCTGCTGTTAATCTGGTTACTTTCTACAGTAAATGCCACTTATGTTAATAGGATTTGTCAGGTAATTCCCTAGTGAATAATTCTAGCCATGCTGGCTTTTAAAAAGAAACTGATCAAAAATAAGGTGCCCCTTTAGCAGAGCTTGGGAAAATAAGGAATATATTTTGTTTATAACAAGTACACAAAAGATAAGAAGATCATTTGGTTCTGAGTTAGTAATGTAGAAACCAGCTCGTGCTCTTAGGTCTGTGGGAGAAAGTTTTAAGTGGAAAGGCCCCTGGAGGCTGTTTTTAATTTGATGGCTCCTTGCACAGGCCAAATAGTTGTGACTGGAAAACAGGAATATTTTTTGTTACAAATGCAACATGAAAAAATCTTTAGGATTGAACTCTGTGGTGTGTGTATCACCTGCAAAGTGTCGAAGAAAAACAGCCCTTTATAATGTCGGCTCCTGAGACAGATTTACATCGTGGAGCTCTGAATAGTGCCTTCTGAAGAATTTGTAATATTTTTGCTTTTGGGGAGGATTACTGTTGGGATTAGTGTCCACCTCATCAGTGGAATCATCTCACATGTGTCTGCATCTCAGAGGCATCCTGGTAGGACTTGCACTTGATCTGGACTGTGCTTTTGCTCCTGAAAATGTATGCATGTTAACTGTCTGGATGGAAAAACCCTGTTAGGAATCCCTGTAAACAGATTTCTTTTTGAAGTCGTAGGAAGTGAAGGTTGATACCATATATTCCCACTTAACCCCAATACATGCCAACTGGAGCTTGGCTTAAGTCACATTAGAGTGCTCTTGCTCTACTTAGACCATGACCGCTATCCTGGTTTCCAAATACATCTTTTGGGGCCAATGCAGGCAAATATTTTGCATGCTTAGATGTTGCAAATAAGCTTCCAGCAATATACATAGAGTATATTGAGCAGCAAATCTTATCTACCAATTCCCTTCCACATGTTGCAAATACTGTTGGCTTAATTTTTATTTTTTTTTTCCCCAGGTGGAAGATGCTTTGTGTTTTAACTGTTTTCCATGTGCAAGGAGCTTTGGTTTCATGAGGCAGTGCTAGGTTAATGGTTGGACGTGATGATCTTAAAGGTCTTTTCCAACCTAGATGATTCTATGATTCTATGAAATATTTGCGTAATGCTTGAGATACCAAAATGGTTTGGTATGTGTTAGAAAGGTCCCTCTGCTCCCTCTGTCTCCTGCAGAGCTGAGGCGAGTTTGTTGGTGGGCTTTGGGGGAGTTCGTGCATGTGCTTTTGAAGGTCAAGGGCTTATTCACGTGTGTGTCTTTGATCCATGGGGTGACAAGGCCATGAAGACCTGCTGGTGAAAGAGGCGAAAGGACGTGGCAGCTGTGGAGTGGAAGCAGTTAATTTAAAATAGCTGCTGCCTTTTTCAGTCTCTGATTTGTGCTGAGTAAGTGTTTGTCTCCTCCGACTGGGGAAATGGAGGCAAAGCTGCTTTCCATGCTGTGAAAGACACACCGAGGGGAGGAAATCTTCATGAGAGCAGCCCAAACGGACAGCGCTTGGCATCAGCCGCGGTGCTGCCGCCTGCGTCTTGCTGCGACGGCAGCGCCTGAATAGAGCCGACTGTGGTTTACGTGCATCGCGGAATCACTAATGTTTAAATTATCTGCAACAAACTCATGCTTGTTTGTAGATATCGAACTCCCTCAGTGTGGTCAGAGAGCTGAAGTGCTCTTACCACGTGCTTGTTCCTCCCTCTAACGAGGTACGGCTGTTGAGGATGCTCCGGGGATTGCCGCCGTGCTGCAGAGCAGCCCCTTCGCCTCGCGGCATCCGCGCAGCCTCGGGAGGTTACCCTGGAATCGCTTCCCATTTTAATTAATGGACTATTTAAAGCAATTTGGTGTATATCGTTTGCTCCCGTAAAAAGGATTCCTGGTTTGATGGGTTTGACACAACTTTAATTGATGTCAGTATGCATAATATTTGAAGAAAACAAACTACTGTTCTTGGAGATTTTTTTTACCCTCCTCATAATTTCTCCGTTCCTTGACTCTGAAGCATTATGTGGGATGGAACTCTGAGGCTGCGTTGGTCAAAATAGTAATTTTTATAGGGGTGAAAAGGCTTTTTTTTTTTTTTTTTTTTTTTTTTTCACGTTAAGAGGCGATTGTTCCATTTATTTGGATGATTAAGATGTTACATAGCAATAATTCCATTCTATCCCAATTTTTAAAGGTTCTTTTCAGGTTTTTTTAAGGATTTTTTTTCCCTGTTGCTGATGTAGATGGAGGTGACGCTTTCCTTACATTTTAATTGAAGTTGCTTGAATTTGATATAGGACAAGTTCTTCTCTTAGTGGCATTTGCAGTTCTACTCTGAAGTTTTCTATCAAAACAGGTCTGGAACTATCTGAGGATGAAAAAACGTAATGGGCCTGTGCCTGAGTAAATTCACAGCCTCTGTCATCAGTAGAGCTGTCCTGTTTCTGTCAGCTGGGTATCCAGATCAGTATTTCTTGTAGCATATAGCACAGAAAAACAGTAGCCCTTTTTCTCTCCCCCATCACTTGCTACAAGAACAATTTGGAGATATTTGGGCTTTTCTGTTTTGACTTGCCGCTTTTTCATTTTTAATACATTTTCTCAGTAAGTCATTGGGTTGATCTAAAAATAAAAAGGATGAAAAATCTAGGCAGAAGGGAAACTTTGCTTTTGCAAGTTATAACCCCTTGTTGTAAGCTGTATTTTTTTTCTCTTAAAATGAAATGGGTTAGAGCTTCAATAGTAACATTATTATTCTGAAGAGATGCTTTCAGTGTTAGATGTGGTGTGCTTATTAAGTATGTCAGGAGAATGGTAGGAAAAATTAAATTACCTTTAATTTAGTCGGAACTCAGCATTTCTGTTAGCTCTGAGAATGGCCATTTGCTATTTCAATAGCTTGCTGTAATAAGGAACTGAGAGTTTTCTGACTTACTCATTCACCTCAGCTCGTCGTCCCTAAAATAAATCACAGGTTTTCTGATGAACTTTAAAATAACTCAGAAACCCTACCTTAAGCGACGAGGAATGTTATGTGTAGAATAGGGTAATCAAATGTGCCTGTAAAACAGCATGTGCTGTTGGCAGTCGGCGTGACAGCGGTATATGTGCCCGAGCACACGTGAACAGTGTTAAGCAGGGTCAGACAAGCATTTTTACTCTGCTAAATCACTGCCTGCGTCTGGCAGGGGCTGTGCTGTAAGTGCTTAGGGTAGTTTGAGCCCCCCCGTGCCTTGGGGCAGGGTTGTGTAGGGGTAGGGTCTGTCGGCGGTCCCCTGCTCGACCGAGGGGACAGTAGCGGTTGCCCCGTGGCCAGCTGGCTGGGTGGGGTGGGAGAGGGGGCCTGGGTTTGTGAAGTGCTGTATTCCCATGGGCTGTTTGCGTCTCTCCAGTTGCATCTCTTTGGTCATGAAAACGTTTTATCCCTTCATGCAGGCGTACCGCTGAGCAAAGTAAAAGGTGGCTTTACCAGTCACGCTGAACAAATAGCTGATGGAAGCAGTCACTTACAGTGTCAAGTCACTTTGACTTGGATTGTGTTGTCCTTCAGAAGCTTTTTTTTTTTTTCCCCCCTGTCTTACTCATACTGCTAAAGCTTCCAGAAAGCATAATCGTAGAATCCTAGGTTGGAAGGGACCTCGAGGATCATGTAGTCCAACCTTCCTAGGTAAGAGCGCAGTCTAGACAAGATGGCCCAGCACCCCGTCCAGCTGAGTCTTAAAAGTGTCCAATGTGGTGGAGTCAATCACTTTCCCTGGGGAGATTATTCCATAAGTATAATATTGAACAACCCAGGTTGGAAAGGACCTTGAAAGATCATCTGGTCCACCCTTTGGTGGGAAGGGGAGCCTAGATGAGATTACCTAGCACCTTGCCCAGTTCCATCTTGAAAACCTCCAGTGATGGGGACTCTACCATGTCCTTGGGGAGGTGGTTCCAGTGATTTATTGTTCTCACTGTAAAACCCAAATTAATTTATATATATGCACACACATATATGTATAGTCAGCTGCATCACATCAAACCGACCATCCCCTTGCTGCCTTGGTAGTCATTTATGCAACAGGTGCCTCTTATGTTTCATCTCCTCCTACCATCCTTCCCTAAGGATATTTTTAAAGTTTAACTGGTCAGATGGGATGTGTGGTGGCAGCGTGAGTGGGGACAGGGACAGCCGTGTAACTTGCTAAAAGGAGCGAGGTGCAGCCCAGCTCCCCTGGCACCCATACGAGAAAGCTGTATCAGATGGGCAGGCTGGGAAGAGAAGCGTTCCTGGGCCATGCTGCAGCTCCTCTTGCAAGCTTGTTCAGAGCTGTGTCATGTACACTCTTTAAAATTGCGTGCATACCTCAGCACATTGCTGGCTTTAGTGGAACAACATGTGGCTCAATGCTGATGGGAATACCATCCTGCATAATGCTCCACTGTTAAGTTTCTTCCAGCCGCAGATTTCAATTTAACTGTTAGGTGCTGAACGCAGCAGAAGTCGGACTTGTAAAAGTCAGAGTGTTAGATTGACTCTTCAGTTTTAATGAGCTGGAGGGGGGAGTTTAATTTGCTGGCCTGCTTTTCTGAGCCCGTGCCAGAGTCTTTTGACAGAAAGGGAAGATTAATGTTAGCGGGCTGGAGCGTGGCACCGATGGCTATAGAGCGTTCCAGGCCAGCCCACCAGTGGGACTGCGCCGTGATTTGCAGTACAAGGGAAGGCTTTGTCCGCTTTTATCAAACCCCACATTTCTAACTAGCTGCTTGCCAGAAAAGCACAGCAGGCATGCTAGAAATAGCCCTTCCCCTGCGAGGGAGCTACTTCCATGAGATGCAGGGCTAAATGAATTTTCCTCTGTCGCTCCGGAAAACAAATCCTATGCATTATTCTTCATAACTGAATCTATCTTTTATAAAGGTACTCTTTTAAGCAACTGTCTGCAAAAGTTATTAAAGCCAAACTTCTGTTGGGACTAAAACTAGCCTTTGTAGGGTTGTGGGGTTTTTTTTTTTGGGGCGGGGGGGAACCCAAACCCACAACAAATCACCTTGGTCAAAGACCAGATCGCCTGATTTAACTGTTTAAGCTAAGTGGAGTATAAAAAGTAAGTTATAGTTAAATGGTGAAAATTAATTTGGATGAACAGGGGACTTGTAAAAATCACTAGCTGTATGGTGGTTTGGACTTGAAGCGATTAGTTTGGAATTCAAGCAGTAAGCCTTTGAGAGATCCGTAAGAGAAACCTCTGTAAAGCATGATTTGCGGAGTACCTTGTGAAAACAACGCTTCTTTCTTTCTTTCTTTCTTTCTTTCTTTCTCTTTGTATGCTGTGAATAGACTCTCCCTTTCCCTGGCTAGCAAGGGGGGGGAAGGATGGGTGTAGGTGTTCGGGATGCTCGGGCTAATTGCAGCACGCAGGGTTAGTGAGCTTGGGCTGCACAGGCGAGGCTCCCTGAGTCCTGTTGGGAGCTGCTGGAATTTGCAGTGATGAGTGAATGGGGTGGTTATTGCTAGCAAGAGATGCTATTGGCTTCTCAAGGGATAGAAAAGTGACTCTAAGTGAAAGTGCTCATGTAATCTTATTAATATCTATCGTTCTGGCCTCAGTTCCCCTCTTGCATGCTTCATTAACTCATGTAAATTCATTGCCTTTCCTACAGTCATTACTGCCTCATGCTGGTGAAAGTGAGAAAAGCTTGAGCTAAACTTGGTATTTGGATTTCCTCGAGTATTGGAGCATGAGGTGAACCGCAGGTTCCTGACTGTGTGCAGTGCTGGCTTATGTCTGACCGTGTTCCTTAGTTGTCTTTTACTGCTAAATTGAGGGAGTGGTTTTTTTTTTTTTTTCTTTTTCTCTCTTTAGCATCAGTGCCTGATCTTATGATGGGTTTGTTTTGGGTTTTTTTTTTCTTTTTTTTGGTACCTTGAAAGGTGGATGATTTCCCACTAGGACATCACTTGGGAACTGCATAACTTTAAGCCCTGTCATGGGATGGTTATGCCAGGAAAGATGGAAAGTTGCTGGCAGCAATGAGGCAGTGCAGGATGCAGCTTTTGGAAGGAATAAATCCTTGTTGCGTTCTTCCTTCTCCGTCCTGTGGCGGAAGGGAGGAGCTGAGAGAAGTGGAAGAAAAGGTGTGAGAGACTGCCTGCGTCTACACAGGAGGCATTTAGGGTTCTTTAGGGTAATGGAGGGGCATGCACAAGAGTATAGTTGTATTCTGCATAGAAACCAGTGTCTTTCCTTGAGACCTAAGTGAAGTCAGCAACGCTGATGTGTTGGCTACATAGCTAACTGCTTCGTAGGCAAGGGTGCATTTGCCATATTCCAGGGTTTTCCCATTTACGACTGGTTTCGTTGCACCTGTGCCCTAGGAATGCAGCCATGTCTGCTTGTATGGGGGATCCAGCACAAATGGATCGAGCTGAATGCAGCGGGTGAGATAGCTCGTTTGTTTGTATGGATTTTCTGGCCCTTTCATCTCCATAAAGCAGAACAAATCTTGCTTTTGACTATGAACTGCCAAATTTGGCTCAACAAGTCAGCAGAGCACAGCTTTCTGAATGCTCATGAACATCTGACTGATGAATGAACGATGGTTGTCTGAATGAATTGTGTTTATCAAGTTTTGACAAATCAATGTGTTTTCCCCTAGTTCAAGATGTAATTTTTTTTTTTTTGTTGCAGAGAACTGCAGTTACTAAGCGGTTTGAAAATTATTATTCCTTCTCTTTTCTTCTAAAGGGTCTGGAGTTGTACTTGCACACAAGACTGATATCCCCTCGACAGAGGTTTCTCCTCCAAGTCCCAGTCCTCTGAAAAAAAGCGGATCAATCAACTGGCCTTTCCCTGATAGAATTAAATCTCCCAGGACTGTGAGGAAGCTTTCCATGAAAATGAAAAAGCTGCCAGAGCTGAGCAGGAAACTGAGTGTCAAGGGAACCTCAAGCCATACTAGTTCAGATAATCCTCCTTCCCTGCTGAAAAGTAGCTGCCGGGATACAAGCCATACAGTGTCTTTGCCATCTTCTGGAAACTCAACCACA